AAATGTATAATATTTCTATTTTTATTAACCTATTTCCCCCTAACTAAGGCCGGATTTCCCATCAATGTGCCCAAAATGAGCCCATGGTGGGGCCATGTTTGGCACTGGGACTGTGTCCTGTCCCTACACCCGCTCCCTGTCTTGGAAATCTTCATCCCCCCGTATAAAATCAACTGGATTTGGGGAAAAAATAAAGTGGCTTTTTTCTTCCTCCTTTCACTGGAGCTCTGTGGGTCAGGGCCACCCACCTGCCTGTCACCACTAGATGGCAATCGGTGACCGTGCGAGGTGACTCCCTGGGTGCTGGGGTGACCTGAGCACCCAAGGGTGACACTTTGGGACAGAGCAGACACACCCCATCCCGGAACATCAACACCGAGACATCGCTCCCCGCTGCTCCCCGCTGCTCCCCGCTGCTCCCCACCTCCATGGCTCCAATGTCCTCAGCTATGCCGAGGGCTTTTATACTTTTATAAACCATTAAAAGCTTTTTTTTTTTAAAAAAAATAATAATAATTTTTAAATTGATTTTATTTTCCTCGCAGCATCCTGCAGCAAGGAGTCCCCCAAGTGATCGGCAGCCCCGATAGACAAACCGCCCGCGGTGATGATGGCAGAGCCAGGTGTGTTTGTGTGAGTCCCTGACGCTGCAGGTGTGTTCCTGCAAGTCACGAGTCGTCAGGGGACAAGTAGGGACAAGTTGACCTCAAAGTTTGAGCAGCAACATGAGCTGGATGGGCGTGTGGTAGCTATAAACAGCTTCGGTGTTGTTTGTACACACAGGGAGATGGAGCTGGACCCTTGTTGGGGGGAGATTTGGGGCTCCTAAAAAGAAACACTTGGGTTTGACAGCCAGACTGGGACCCTCAGGGTTTCCCCAGGGGTGATGGATGTGGGTGGGCATGGGGAGGAGGAGGATTTGGTGACCTTCCAGGTAGGTTGGCAGCCGAACCGCTGAGGGAATGGCTCAGAAATAGAGCGACGGGGAAGAAATGAGTCACCCCAGGCTGGAAATAAACGGGACCACGGGCACTGGAGGGGAGTTGGGGCGGCTCCTTGTCCGAAGGAGGAATCACTCGTGGTACCCTTTATGGAGACATTCAGGGGTTGAACCCACAACCCTTTTTTTGAGGGAAAAACATCAAGAAAACATGAAAAAAATGGAGGAGGCAGCAGTTAGGCGTTCTCAATAATTTATCACAAGCTGTATATACAGAGACAAGCTCTGGCGGAGGGTCGGGGAAGGGAACCTCGCTCCTCGCTCCCGCCGGGGCTCTTGGCATGGCTGGATCTTCCCCATCAACCCTCACCGGCTAAAAACCACCGGAGCCCAAATTCCCCTCCAGAATTTCTCCGGTGGGTGATGGAATGAGTCTCAACATGGATTTGGTGACCCCCTCCGGGGAGCATTCCTATTCCCTACCCAACATCCCACTTCTAAATTACCCAAATAATTAATGAGGGATGAGAGGGAAGAAAAGAACCCACCCCCCCAACCCCTCAGATCTTGATCTCAGTCCGGAAGGTTTGCTGGACGTGTTCAGTGTGCTTGGCAGGTTGGCGTTGAGCCCGGATGGTCAACGTGCCATCGTCCCCCAGTGAGGATGACACTGATGTGGGGTCCACGTCTTCGGGGAGCTGACATTTGTGGGTGAAGGTGTTCATGACTGTGCCATCCGCAGCCAGCTGGGAAAAACAAACCAAAACTGGGGTGAAAACAGATAATTTTGGGGGTGCACAGGTAGGTTGGGGGCTCATCTTTCCCTGCTCTGGGTGGTCGTGCCTGTGTGTAGTGGTAATATTTATCTCCCCGAGGGGATGGGTAGGATGTGGGTGACATGAGGAGGGGGGGACAGAGGACAAAGGTGATTTTTTGGGGGGTTCCCACCCCACTGGGA